CTGCAAACATCCACACGTAACTGATATAAAGAAGCTAAACGGTTCCGCTGTTCTATGGATATACAAGTTTCTGACTATTTTATATTCTTTTTAGCTTCACAGTAGGCATTCCCCCAATCACCGAAAGATAAAACAATAATAAAATACATGGTGTCCAAAGTTTCTGCACTAAGTTTATCAAAGAATAAAATGCCCTGCATTTTAGTTCAGTGATTAATTTACAAATACTTCCAACATTTCAACTTACTTTATAGAAACCTATAGATAAATAAGTGGATCAGCTCAAAACTTCAATATTGATGCTGTGTGCCGTGAATGAAACATACAAAGTTTCATTTGATTCAAATAGAAAGCAGTAATTATGTGGGTTAATGGAGTGACACCCTCTAGCAAAGATTTCAAACCTGAATAAATCTAGCTTTGAAGCAAGTCCCAGCACCCTGTATGTACCCCTCGGAGTAGGAGGTACGGACTGACTGGTTGGAGCATGGGTCTCAGAGCCTTTCCCAACCTTTTGCTTTCTTTTCTCCTCCCAACCAAGTCAAGTGTAAGACATATGCCAAATCTTCTATTTGATTAAATGCAATTTTGAAGCTAAATCCGCAATAAAAATGGCTGCAATGTCAACAAGAATTTATCAGCACTTTGCGTGTGTTTAAAAAAAAAAAGCAACACTACCATCACTGTTGACCTTCACTCAGGCATTTCATCAAACACTATTTGTTATCATTTTGCCTAAGACACACTATGCTTCTAAGTTTTCAACTTTTGGTGAAAAACATGTCTCCTTCACTAAAACTGAATTTCTCGAAGACCTACCTGTCTCCTTTTTTGCCACTCCGTTAGATTCAAATCGCAACCAAAACGGGCCGTGTTAGTTTTGGACCCTTCACTACCAAAATAAAAACATATCACAACCACAAACTCTTCTTATTTAGTTACAGTCTTAAGTAAAAAGTTGATTGGATACTTGAATTGATGATCCTTCGATTCAAACTAGTGCTCAAAGATAATCAAATATTTACAAAACCAGAAAAACATATCAATAGAAAACTCACCTACAAGCTACAGGGGAGTGCGGTGTGGCTGCAGGGACGTGCGGCAGGCGTGCGGTAGCGGCGTGGCCGCAGGGGCATCTCACGGCGATGGAGAGATGGTGACGGGTC